ATCATCAAGAAACCAAACAATAACAGATGCTAGAGAGGCTACAGGAAAAAAGGAATCCTTCTTCACTGGTGATGGGAGTGTAATTTGGTTCAACCACTATGGAAATCATTATGGAGATGCCACAAGACCTAAAAATAGAAATTCCATTTGACCCAGCCTTTTAGTTATCTTCCCAAAAGAGTTCAAGATGTCACATTACAGTGATAAATGTATATCCATATTTGTAGCGCACAGTTCATAATAACTAAATTTTGAAAACAGCTTATAAATCCATCAGCAGATGAATGGTTAACAAAAATGTGGTACTTACACACAATGGAGTTTTACTCCGCCATAAAGAAGGGCAGACTTAAGTCATTTGTAAGAAAGTAAGTAACCTGGAGAGCATAATGTTAAGTGAAATAAATCAGACACACAAGCTTCAATATCACAATTAGATGAGAAACCCAATATGTAAATAAAGTACAAAATAAAAGACAACGGGAAAAAAAGAGAGAAAAGCTATTGCAGTCCAGTATGGCCAATGTATCTAAAAGTGAACCTTGGACCAGGGATATAGCTCAGCACACAGCACCTGCCTGGTAAGCACAAGGTCATGAGTTTGATTCCTAGTACCCAAAAAGAGCAAAATTTAAAAAAAAAAAAAAAACTAAAAAATAAAAGTGAACCTTGATTTCACATAATCACCATATATGTTTTATACAGTTTTTGGCCAATCAGTCTGGCTGTCAATCTGTGTTTCTGATAGTTAACTTGATAAAGACATAAAATAAATAAATAAATCTGATGCAGGCAACAAAAAGTGAGAAAAAACTTCAAAAAATGGGGATGAAAGGGAAAGGGGACAAAAGAATTGAGAGGTACCATGTACATGTACCAACTCCCCACAATGAATGTATATACTGTAAGCCTGTACTAATAAAAATTAAAATTTTAAATGTTTTTTATTTTAAAAAAGCATGGACCAAAGCCAGATCACACAGGTTCAAATCCCAACACCTCCACTTGAGTCTGTGATTCTGGGTAAGTCACAGAAACCTCGGTGTGAGTTCATCTTCACTACTGTGATGAAGGTTAAAGGTTAATAATGGGTTAATCCTGCAGAACAGATAGTAGATGCGATGATTTATCATCACAACTCAGCAGTGTTACCATCCTAGAGCTTCACTATCTTCCCTAGGGCCACAGGGCCAGCAGTTGAGAAGGAAGATGGGACACCATGTCTGCTAGCATCAGAGGCAGCACTCTGGTACTTGTGCCATCCAGCCCCACTCCCTCCTTGATGGGAGCCCTGTGGATAATACGCAGGAGGTCTAGTCCTCCTCCTCACTGAGCTATAGGTTTCCTATTTGCAACCCATGGAGTCCCTGCTGCTGCATTTATAAAATGAGGATTACACCAGCACCCCTATCTCACAGATGCAAGTACTTCAAGGATCAAGTGCAAGGAATGGGACTGGATTAAAGGGGTTCCCCTGCAGGCACCTGGGAAATACACGTTCAGGAACAGCGCCCTGTCCATCAGTTCTATGACTGGGTTCTGACTTCACTGGATTGTGTGAGAGGGGAACACCTAGCGCCCCAAGACTGAGTAAATCAGGTAAGGGTATAAGCTACTGGGACAAACCAGAAGAAAGAGTTCCCCTCCAGACATGGGAATCCAGAAAATGTCTTTGCCCAGTCAAAACATAAGGGACAGGAACCCTCCAAAGTGAACTCTTTCTGTGGCCTCCTTTGAAATTCACAGCACCTTCTCACCAACCAGGAAACTGAGGCCCCAGTAGAGGTTGTATACCCAAGGTCGCATAGCTAGTGAGTGACTGGGCATGGATTTGAAGCAGGTGAACGACCACACCCCACAGACCCTAGACGCCAGGGCTCCTGCTAACTGGACACATTTAAATGCAGCTTCCCCAGACTCCTCTGGGCTGAGTCACCCTGCAGCATTGTTCAGGTGGGTGTGGGAGGGCCCTTCCCACCAGATAGGTGCTCTTTACACACAGCCAGAAAACCACCTGGGTGGCCCTGCAGACCCTGTCCGGGTTGGCAAACAGGGCAGGTGGGGGTGGGAGAGTGATGTCACGGGTATGTTTTGTTTCTCCTGCATTATTCATCCCTGTCTGGGAACAGTCCCTGGAATAGGAGAGCTATCACTTGGGCCGCTGGCCCCTCCACTCCCTCCCCCTCAACACAGCTACTGCCCCAAGCTAGGGGCCCTCTCTCGTCTGCATCTTATCCTTTCCAATACATACTATTATTACTTCCCCCTTTTCTCCCAGTGAAGAAATGGAAGCTCAGAGAGGAAAAATGACTTAACCAAGGACACACCACTGGTAGGGATCAGGCTAAGATCTGAACCCCGGCCTGAAGAACCCAAAGCATGTTCACTCGGCCCTCTTGCTTCACAGGGGTTGTGGCCTTCTTCAAATTCTTAGACTCTCTGGTGGGAGCTGAGCATCCTGGATCCTCATTTCAGCTCTCTGTAGCTAGCAGAGTGACCTGAGCACTTAATGACTCTGCGGCTCAGTTTCCACAACTGCAAAGTAAGGCAAGACTGAGCCCATAGCCAGGACAGACTTGGCCATACCATGCAGCACTCCATCACATCAGCTCCTGGTGTAAGTTTCATGCCAACAGAATTGCTAGACTGTATGAGCTCTCTGAGGATGGCGCCCAGTGGGCACATGGTAGAGTCTTACACAGTGGAATTTTAGCTTCCAGTCCTAACTGAGAGAAAGCAGCAAACTGCCATGGATATTAGGCATCATGGAGACCCAGAGGGAGAATAAAAAGACATGCCCTGGAGAGGCAAACAGCTGAGAGGCAGCCTCTAAAAACAGACCAGTGTGAGGCCTGTTAAGTAGGGTGGAATTATGTTCTCACACAGGAAAACCTCCCTTTTCAGGGAGGCAGAAGACCAGCTGGGGGTGAGAGTGCTTGCATCATGGAAGCAACCAGGAAGAAGGCAGGGTGAGCTGCCAGTTCCCCACCAGTTTTCCACGGTGGAGGGATCCCACTGGGCTGAGGGGAAAGTCCCGGGTTTACTCCAAGCAGTTGAGTGCTTAATTATATCCTGTCTCCCCCCACTCGCACAGTGTATATGCCAGCCCCTTTCCACAACTTGGTTATAAGTTCTCTAAATATGGAGGAAGTGAGTTTGCAGTCCACACACTGCTGGGCACACAGGAGAATCTTAATAAATCACCACGGCAATGGCAAAACTATTAATATCTTTCCCTCCAACAGTCTCCCTCCCCCTTCCTCACCCTAGGAGTCCTGGCAAGTCCACCTGCATCTCGGGGCTGAACAGGGCACCATTCGTGCCTCTCCTCCAGGAGCCTGCAGGCCCTATTATAGAATCTTTCCCTTCTACTCAGGGTAAAAAGAATCATAACACAATGGCTAGAGCCCCCGGCCTGCAACCACTTACTAGCATGTATCCTTGAGTGCTTTATTTAATAGCTCCGGGCTTCAGTTTTCTCACTTGTAATATGGGGATGATAACAGTAACACCCTAACCGGGTGAAGGAATGCCTGTCCATCTCAGAGTCTGAGAAGTGCCTGAAGTATGTGTTATGATCAACTTCTTCATTCTACTCTTCTCAGCCATATCAATTAAACCTGGACCTGTGCTCACATTCAAGGCAACAGTTCTTGTTGGTGAGCCCTGACCTCAAGGGCACTGGTTCCAGGATTCCCAAGGATACAAAAATCCATGAATACTTAGGTTCCTTTTATCAAATGGTATGATGTTACATAGAACCTACACACATCCTCCTATACACTGTAGTTTAAATCATCTCTAGATTACTAACAATACCTACTACAAGGTAAATGCTATGTAAATAATTGTTATACTGTATTGTTTAGGGAAGAATGACAAGAAAAAGGTCTGTACATAATCAATACAGACACCCACAACTAGTTTACTATGAAGATTCAAAACCTGAGGATACAGACTATGATCATGAAGGACTTGCAAATCCACACTCAACGTAGTGCCTACCGACTATTTACATATGTTTTCTCATTTCATCCCAAGCACCATAGCAGTGGGTATTCCCATTCTTAGTTATTTATATAAGCCTGGAAATGGTAAGAAACTTGGGCTAGTAAGTGTTTGGTGCAGGATTTGAACTTGGGTCTGCTTCCCACGCTGCAGCTTTGCCTCCCTGACACAAGATGATTATTCTCAGATGAAGCTTTCTTTTTCAGGCTTTGTTTCCAGCCCATTCCAAGAACAATGGCCCCTTTTAAGCCCTCCCCATATCAGTGGCATTTCTGGCATTCTAAGCCAGTCCCTGTCCCCCCCAGCCCCATCCACTCCTAAGCAGAAGCTTCCAAAGTGTTCTATGTCACTCAACAGCAAAATGGCCTCAGAGTGTCCAGGATGAAGGGCCCCTCTCTCCAAGGGATCCGCTGGTGTTGAACCCCGACATCGGGCTGGGCTGCTTCCCACTCTGGGGGTGCTCACCTGCATTTTCTCCAGCATCTCGAAGAACTCCGCAGACTGAAAGACACAAAGGGGGAGGGGAGAGAGACTGCGTCAGCCAGGAAGTCAGCTGAGAAAGCCTCCTGCTCACCGTCTGGAAGTGGAGCCAGGGCCTTCCCCAGGGATGAAATTCATTTGGGTCAAGAGAGGAGATAATTTGATTTTGCCTTTACAGAGCTGGAGGGCCAGAACATCCCACACAACAGAAGAGAAAATAACACAGGCCTGGGCTGGCAAGTGGCCCAGAGGAGGGCAGCCACTCAGTCCCTTTGGCAGGTAGAGGTATAGAGACCTAAGGAAAGGCATAGCTTCCCCAATGCACTTGCAGAGACTCAGCCTTCAGCAGGATTCAGGTTTGGGATGTTTTCAACCCAGCCGTAGGGACAAGAAGTGTCAGTTTTCTGACATCTGTGGCAACACGGGCTTTCTGTGTCCTCCTATAAAACTCCACTTAGTACATGACAGAGCAAGCCAAAAAGCACTGAGCTGCTCTAACCAGGCCAGCCAAGGGGGCTTGAGCTCTAGCCCCTAGCCCGGGCACCTGGATGAATTATTTTTAAAATCTCAAACTGCATCTGTTCAACCCTTAACCTACTTTGGTTTCTCCCTTGTAAACTCTAGATGGAGGTGGAGGAGTGTAATGGACATCTGAGAAGCAGGTAACTCTGCCCTAACAAAGGATAGACAGGGGTCCCTCAGAAGACTTCACTTCCTGCTCTGTGAATACAGCCCCACTTTCTTATACTAACATCACTGTGTACATCTGGGCATTGGCAGTCATGTGTCAGTGAGTGCCCAGAACAGAAACAGGCAGTCCCCAGAGGAAAGACAGCTATGATGAGGAATGCATTTATCCCTGTCACTTCTTTGGGCAGAGGCAGAGCCTCCCAACTCTCTTCCTCTGCCCACACCAATAAACCAGAACCACCTGGGGCCCCCACTAATTCGGAATTCTTCAGAAGGGAACCACCAAGGGAAGGATTCTTAAGGGGTCACCTGCTGAGACTCATTCCTGCTGTGGGTTCCAAACAACCTCTCTCATGCCACTCAACACTCTTGACCAAGAGTAGGCTTGGGGGACAACATAGTTGACCAGAAATAGACTTGGGATACCAACATCTTTGACTAGAAGGAGCCACCAAACGCTCAGATCCCAAACCTACCCTCCCCACTTGCTCCAGCTATAAAAATACCATCCACACTGTATATTCTTACAAACTGCAGGATCCAGCCATAATGAGCTTATACAAATCAATAAACATAGAAAGAAGACAAGGAGATAAAAGAATCAACATTATAAATACACAGACCGGGCTGGGGATTTAGCTCAGCGGCACAGCACCTGCCTGGCAAGCGCAAGGTCGTGAGTTCGATTCCTGGTACCGGAAAAAAAAAAAAAAAACACACAGACCTCTGGCCCAGCAATTACCCTTCAAGCAATCTGTACTTTAACACACTTACATATGTACATGATGCAATTAAAATGTTCATGCTGCATTATAGTACTTGTAATAGTAAAATATGGCAACAAATGCAAATCTATAGCAAATTGGTTAACTATGTTCATACAATAAAATACAAGTACAGGTGCCTCATTTCTCTGAGCACCTGGCCTCCACTGTTGAGTGTATCCTATATAATCCTTCCCTAAAAAATCCCTTTTGTTTCTTTAAAAAAAATACAGAAACTATAAACAACTATATGTCAATAAATTAGATGAAATGGACAAATTCCTAGGAAACCACAAGTTATCAACTGCCTCAGAAAGAAGTAGAAAATATAAAAAGTCCTATAAAAAAAATAAAGAGATTGAATTAGTGAGCAAAAACCTATCCATCAAGAAAAGTTCAGACTCAGATGATTTCATTTGTAAACTCTCCTAAATATTTAAAGGCTGATTAATACTAACTAATTCCTCATATTCACTATCAAGATAGTGAAAAGTCAACGCACAGACCAGCAAGAAATGTTTGAAAACCATATACCTGAAAGGGACTTGTATCTATAATATATCTAGAACTCTTAACAACTTAATTTTTAAAAGAAAACAATACGAAAGTAAGGCAAAGGCTGTGAATTAACATTCCCCCCAAAGAAGACACACAAATGACAATAAACACAGGAAAAGACACCCATATCATTAACCATCAGGAAATACAAAGAAAAACAACAGTGAGATTCCACATATACCACTAAGATAACTATCACCAGAAAACAAAAGTAAATATGACAAGGATGTGGAGAAATTGGAACATTCATGCATTACTGGTAGGAATTCAAAAAGCTCGGCCTCAGTACAAAATGATTTTGTAGTTTCTCAGAAAGTTAAACAGAGTTAACACATGACACAGAAATTTCACTCCCATGTATCCAAAAAAACTTAAAACAGACACTCACATACTTGTACATAAATGTTCACAGCAGCATGGTTTATATTTGTAGAAAGGTGAAAACAGTCCAAACACCCATCAACTCATATCCATACAATGGAATAATATTCAACCACAGAAAGAAATGAGGTTCGGATACATGTTACAGCATGGAGGAACTTTAAAAACATTATGCTAACTGAAAGAAAACAGACATAAAAGACTAAACAAAAAATTAACAAAGAAATAGTTCTTACCAGAACCAATACAACACAAGGAAAGCAGTCCTATGAGGCAAGTTTATAGCTGTGAATTGCTATACCAGAAAAACAGAACAAGCACAAATAAATAATTTAGCAGGCTGGGGATTTAGCTCAGCGGCACATCACCTGCCTGGCGAGCAGAAGGTCATGAGTTTGATTCCCGGTATTGGAAAAAACAACAACAACAAAAAAAAACAAAACCAATGTAAAGCCTGATGCAGAAATAAAGTTGATTTTAAAATAAATAAAT